CTGTCCCAGCAGGCAGTCATCTATGCATCTTCTCAGGTTAGGGAAAAGCCCTCAGCCCTGCTGCATGTGACCTGCTGGATTCACTGCCGGCCGTGCGGGCTGCCAGGCGTGTGACGCGGCCGGGTCTCTCGCAGGTGGTGCAGAAGCTGACGCAGATGGTGGGGAAGAACGTGAAGCTGTACGACATGGTGCTGCAGTTCCTGCGGACCCTCTTCCTGCGCACGCGGAACGTGCACTACTGCACGCTGCGCGCCGAGCTGCTCATGTCCCTGCACGACCTGGACGTGGGCGACATCTGCTCGGTGGACCCGTGCCACAAGGTGCCCTCCCACCCGGCCCTTCCCCCTGGTCTCCACTCCCTGGTGGCTGCAGGTCCTGGTACCTGGGCTCGGGCTGCCCCCACCTGACCACCAAGTCTGCGCAGCCCTGCTGCCTCCCCCGCTGAATCGCTGGGAGGGCCGTCCCTGGCCACATCTCCTCCCCTGCCCGTTCCGTCACTCCCCCTCACTCCCCCGGTGCTGCGGGCGCCCCCCTGGATGCCTCTGCAGCCTCAGGCTTTCCGGGCCTGGGCCTCCCCTCTCGGGCCTCAGGCTGCTCTGGGACCCGGGCTCTGCACCGCCCTCCTCTCCTCGGGTGCTGGGCAGCCGAGACGGTGTCACTTTGAGGCCCCACAGTGGGGCCTCCAGAGAGGGGGCCTTTAGAATAAACTCACATCGTCTCCCACACCTGGTTGCCTCTGCATCCTGCTCCTGGGACAGGTCCTGGCCCTCAGCCGGGTCTTGGCGAGGTGACGCGGGGCCCTGACCCTCCAAGGCCTGGGAGCGAGAGCCGAGGGCGAGCAGGGCCTCCTCACGCTCTGACCTGCTTCCCGCAGTTCACCTGGTGCCTGGACGCCTGCATCCGGGAGCGCTTCGTGGACAGCAAGCGGGCGCGGGAGCTGCAGGGGTTTCTCGACGGAGTGAAGAAGGGTCAGGAGCAAGTCCTGGGGTGAGGGCTGGCCCTTGGTGGAGCCCCTCCCCCGGGTCCTGTCCAGTCCAGATGAGCACGCTCTGTCCACGGTGGTGGGGGATTCCAGCGTGTCCAGGGGGCTGGGCACCCCGTCCCACGGTGGAGACAGGACTGCGCCGGGCCCCGGCGGGCTCTGCAGCTGTGGGCCTGCCACGCTGGGAGGCGTGGGCCGCCTGTGCTGTCTCTGGGACGCGGCTGAAAGGTGGAGTCAGGCCCCCAGAACCAAATGGCTTCATTTCCTTCAGAGCTTTCCGACTCCTCAGTGTTCTAAGTTAGAGACAGGCTTCAAACTGTGAGCCTTGGGGGAAGGAGAGCAGAGGGGTGGGCTCCGTCCACGTGGAGGGCCGTCTCCCGGGCAGGAGGGAGGCAGCCCGCCCGTGGCCGCCCTCCCTGGGCCCGCAGCTTCCACGAATGCTGCTCCTTGCAGGGACCTGTCCATGATCCTGTGCGACCCCTTCGCCATCAACACGCTGTCCCTGAGCACCGTCCGGCACCTGCAGGAGCTGGTCGGCCAGGAGACGCTGCCCAGGGTGAGTGTGCTGCGCTGGCCACAGGCGTCCTTCGGGTGCAGGGGCAGGGCGTGTGAGGGGACCAGTGCGGCCAGCACCCCACTGAGCACTGGGGGAGGCGCCGGGAGCTGGCGCTGAGGCCCATTCTCCGCAGGACAGCCCTGATCTGCTGCTGCTGCTCAGGCTCCTGGCGCTGGGCCAGGGGGCCTGGGACATGATCGACAGCCAGGTCTTCAAGGAGCCCAGGATGGTAAGGGGACTCCGGGGGGCTGGAGGCCGAGGGCAGGAGGGCGGGGCGGTGGGCAGGGCGGTGGGCAGGGCTGTGCACCGCTGAGCTCCTGGTCCCCCAGGAGGTGGAGCTCATCACCAAGTTCCTGCCCACGCTCATGTCCTTCGTGGTGGACGACTACGCCTTCAACGTGGACCAGAAGCTCCCGGCAGAGGAGAGGGCCCCGGCCGCCTACCCGAGCGCCCTTCCCGAGAGCTTCACCAGGTACCGCTGGGGCTGGGGCTGGGGCTGGGGCTGGGGCTGGGGCTGGGGCTGGGGCGGCGGGCCCTGGAGGGAGAGCTTCACCAGGTACCGCCGGGCCTGGGGGCTGGTGTAGGGCGCTCCTTGGGGCCGTGCTCCTCAGGTGGGTGCTCCCGCCAGGTTCCTGCAGGAGCAGCGCATGGCTTGCGAGGTGGGGCTCTACTACGTGCTGCACATCACCAAGCAGAGGAACAAGAACGCGCTCCTCCGCCTGCTGCCTGGGCTCGGTGAGTGCAGTAGCCGCCCTGACCCCACTGTCATGGCCCCCCCTACCCCCCCCCCCCCGTGACTGCCCCGCCCCCTGCAGCCAGCTGGCTTCCCCCCAAGTGCAGGTCTCCTGGAAGTTGTGGTAAAAAGCGAGGAGCTCTGCTCTCTGCTCTCAGACCCTCTGCCCGCATCACCTGTTGTCAGAGTCCTTTCCAGGTGGTGGGAGGCACCTTAACCCTAAGGAAGGGGGTGCGGCTTCTCAGGTCCCCGACATCAGGGAGCCCCTGAAAGTGAGGAGGCCGCCTCCCTGGGAGGATGGGTGGGGGTGGGGTGCGAGCGGGAAGAAGAGACCGTGGTCTGAGTGGACCCCTTCCAGTGACCCTGAGCAAGCTTGGGCTGCGTCAGGGAGAAGGGGCTTCTGGGAGCATCAGCTTCCCACAGGTGGGCGGGCCCATAGCCTCGCTGGCTCAGGGCTGGGTGTTTGACAGTGGACAGTCCACTGTAATGGGACCCCAGGCAGAGGGTGCCCCTGCCCAGGGGGGTGTCCTTGTCAGCCCAGCAAGGTGGATGAGGGCGGGCTGACCCTGCTGTGCCTGCAGTGGAGACCTTCAGCGACCTGGCCTTCGGCGACATCTTCCTGCACCTGCTCACGGGGAACCTGGCACTGCTGGCCGAGGAGTTTGCCCTGGAGGACTTCTGCAGCAGCCTCTTCGACGGCTTCCTGCTCACCGCCTCCCCAAGGTACGGCTGGGGGCGGGCGCCGCTGGGCAGGGTGAGTGCTGGGCGGGGCGGGGGCGGGGGGCGGGCAGCCCTGCAGCCACCCACTGGCTCTCGCAGGAAGGAGAACGTGCAGCGGCACGTGCTGCGGCTCCTCCTCCACCTGCACCACCGTGTAGCGCCCACCAGGCTGCAGGCCCTGCAGAAGGTGCTGGAACCCAGCGGCCAGGTGGGTGCTGCCCCTGCCCCGCACCCTGGGGGGTCCCGATCTCGCCCGGGCCTGCCCACACCCTGTGCTTCCCACAGAGCGGCGAAGCCGTGAAGGAGCTCTACTCACAGCTCAGCGAGAAGCTGGAGCAGCTGGACCACCGCAAGCCCAGCCCGGCCCCGGCCGCCGAGCCCCCGGCCCTGGAGCTGCCCCTCCCTGCCGTGCCCGCCCCGGCCGGCCTCTGACACGTCCCCGAGTCGCTGGGGAGGAGACGGCCCTGGGAGGCCTGGCCTGGGATCGTGGGGACCCGTGTCTCCTGGAGGCAGAGCGGTGCTCATGGCGGGTGGTGGCTGCACTGAGGCCCAGGGTGGTCCCCTGGACAGGTGCCTCCTCCACGCCTCAGCCCACCCTGACCCGACAGTCGTGTGCGTGGGCACGGACCGTTCGGGCTGTGAGCTCTGCCTCGCGCGGGTGTGCACTGTGGGGCCTGCGGGCGCAGTGGGGGGAGCCCCCTGCTCGCCATGGGGCCGGGCCGCTGGCGTGGGGCACAGGTTAGCAGCGTTGCTGGTCAGCCTGGCCCTCTGAGGACTCCTGCGTGTTTAACAGTGGACAGGCCACTGTACTGGGACCCCAGGCAGAGGGTGCCCCTGCCCAGGCCCCACCTGCTGCCTCCGTTTACCCTGGGAGAGGTGTGCTCCTTGCGCAGGTGCACTCAGCAGGTGAGGGTCCGCGTTGTCCGCCGTGACTCGTGTGTAAATAAAAGCGTTTTGGTAAAAGCGGGTGCGCGTTTCTGTGCCGAGGGGTGGGGGTCGCTATCACCGGGTCCGACCATGTCCGTCTCTGTGGGCCGCGTCGCCAGGAAGGTCTGGGCGTGGCTGGAGGCCCCCAGATGAGACACTGCCCCCCTCCCCCCCGCCCCAGCAGTGACACGCAGGGTCCTGCTCCACGGAAGTCAGTGACCTTGACGGGTGCAGCTCTGCAGGGAGGGGGAATGGGCCACCTGGGAGGGGCCAAGGACAGCAGAGGCACGGTGGGGCAGGTCCGGGGCTTGCTTGTGTGTGGATTTTTAAGATGGAAGACATACATGTTTAGCCCGCTGGCGTGGCTCAGTGGTTGAGCTTCAACCTATGAACCAGGAGGTCAGGGCACCGGCCTGGGTTGCTGGCTGGATCCTCAGTAGGGGTGTAGGAGGCAGCCGATCCATGACTTATCACTGATGTCTCTCTCCCTCTTCCTTCCTCTGCAATGAAAAAAATATTAAAAGAAATACATGTTTGTACAATGATGGGAGGACCCAGTGGGAGAAGTGGCCGGAGGGGGTGGGGCCAGGCGCAGGCAGGCCCTGTGGGCGCGGGCAGCTCGGGGAGGCAGCTCTGTGGGGGCTGCTTCCATCTCGGGGAATCGGGGAGGTGGGCCCAGCTAAGGGAGGAGTCGGGGAACAGACTGGACTCCTGGGTGCCCTGAGGCTCAAGGTCAAGATGGACAGACGGGTCCATGAAGCTGGGCTCCTCCAGCCCAGAGGAAGGAATGGGAGGCCCCATCTATCTGGGTGGATGGCACTGGGGACCCCCAGGTGGAGGGGGACCGCGGGTGCCTGCAGGGAGCAGCCAGCTGAGCAGGTCAGCGCCTGGGAGGCCCAGAGGACATTGACCTGAGCGGGGAGGGAGGGAGGGGGGAGGGGGACAGGAAATGAGCCCTGTTCTGGGGGCTGCTTGGGGTCAGGGAAGGGGAAGGAAGGGCTGGGGGGAGAACAGGGAGGGATGTGGGCTCCCCTCCCCCACCGGGCGCCTGTGAGGGTCGGGGGCCAGAGATGTCCTGGGTGCTCAGTGTCTGGAGGCAGATGGAGGTGCAAGTGCCCCTGGGGTCCGGGTGGAGGCCATGCCCAGGGCCCGAAGGGCTAAGGGGAGTGCGACCCACTGGTCAGGGGACCAGCCCGGCCTCCCCGCCTGGCGCCTCCATCCAGCCCAAGTCCCGCCCTGGACACACCTCTGACTCACTTCCTTTGCGTAGAAGCGGAAACGTTCCCCGGCTTCCTCCGCGCTGGACACTCCCTGGGGACCCGCAGGTGCCACTGCCCTGCGGCCTGAGCTGGCCCCAGGCCCCTGACCCGCCGACTCCCGGGAAGCCAGCCTTTCCTGCTTCCTGAGTCGCAGCCTGTGTCTGGCGCAGGCAGGGGCTGCCCTGGGGGGCTGGGGTCCGGCAGGAGCCTGGCCTGACGCAGCTGCAGGTATGGGGTGGTTTGGGGGCCAGGGGTTTGCACCCCGCCTCTCTCCAGCTATCTCTTCAGTGGCTCTTCCCTTTTCCTCCTGCTCCTGTCTTGCTGTCCGTCTCCCACCGTCTGGGGGCTCCCGGCCGCCCCTCCATCAGTGTTCACGGAGGGGTGTTGGGAGGATCTTGGGGGGCGCAGGGCTGGGAGGCCTGGGCTCAGCCTGGGAACAGGGCTGGGGCTCAGTCTCAAAAGCAGAAGTTCCGGCCAGACCCACCCTCCCCCGAGTGTGTGGGGCGTCCCAACTCCAGGGGGTGCTCGGCCAGCGTTTCAGCGGCCGCTCCTGGTCCTCGGAGGGCCCTGGGCGCCGGGCAGTCCAGCGGCGGGCGGGGGCGGAGTCGGGCCGTGACCCATCCTCACCCCTAATCGGGCGCCCGGCCGCCCGGACTCCTCCTCCAGGAAGCGGGGGGCTGCTGGATAAGCCGCCCCAGCGGCGTCCCCTCCCCCACCCCGGCCACTTCCTCTGGGCCCGGCTGTTTACGGGAGGACTTGAGGGATTTGCATGGGGCCCCGCGGGGAGCTGCTTCCTGGTCCGAGCGACCCTCCGGCCCCGCGGGCGGAACAGGCCGGGCCGCCCACGGGGTGAGCTCTCTCGGGGAGAGGCCCCGGTGCCGGTCGGTCACCGGGCGGGAGTCTGGAGACCCTCCCGTCTTCCTGTTGCAGGGAGGGCGACCTGCATGCGGAGCGCCGCCCCTGCGCCATGGACCGCGGCCAGCCCAGCGCGGAGCCCGGGGCCGCGGAGCCCGTGGCCGCGGCTCCCCGCGCCCCCGGCCCGAGCGTGATGGCGCCGCTGCGAGCCGTGGTCCGCCTGCGCCGCCGCGTGTGCCTCCTGCGCAAGCGGCGCCCGCTGACGCCGGGCCCGGGGCTGGACTCGGGGGCCCCGGTGCCTCGCGCGGACGCGGACCAGCCGCAGTTCTTCACCTTCGACGGCCCCGAAGAGCTGGCCTCGAGGACGCCGCGCAAGAAGCGGCGGCGCAGCCGGGTGGTGCTCTACCCCAACTCCTCGCGCCGCTGCCGGCCGCGCGCCGAGCGCCACAGCCGAGCGCAGAGCTGCCTGCTGCTGCTCGTGGCCATCGTGGGCTTCCAGGTGCTCAACGCCATCGAGAACCTGGACGACAACGCGCTGCGCTACGACCTGGACGGGCTGGAGAAGGCGCTGCAGCGCGCCGTGTTCGGCCAGCAGGCGGCCGTGGGGCGCCTCGTGGCGCTGCTGCGGGACTACCTGTCCACGCACGTGCACAGCCGCCCGCTGCTCCTGGCGCTGCACGGGCCCAGCGGCGTGGGCAAGAGCCACGTGGGCCGCCTGCTGGCGCGCCACTTCCGCGCGGTGCTGGAGGACAGCGCGCTGGTGGTGCAGTACCACGCGCGGCACCACTGCCCCTCGGCGCGCGCCCCGCAGGCCTGTCGCGAGGAGCTGGCGCGCCACGTGGCCGACGTGGTGGCGCGGGCGGAGGCGGAGGAGAAGACGCCGCTCCTGGTGCTGGACGAGGTGGAGCTGATGCCGCCGGCGCTGCTGGACGAGCTGCACGGCCTCCTGCAGCCGCAGCGCCCGCACCGCTTCCACAACGCGGTCTACGTGCTGCTCAGCAGCGCGGGCGGCGCGGAGGTCACGCGCTTCGTGCTGCAGAACGCGTCCCGCACGCCGGCCCCGCACCCGGACCGCGCGCACCGGGCCCGCGCCGACGAGGAGCTGCGCGCCAGCCTGAAGGCGCTCCTGGTGCGCGGGCACCCGCTGTGGCAGGCGGCCGCCGTGGTGCCTTTCCTGCTGCTGGACAAGCAGGACGTGGTCAACTGTTTCCGGGACGAGATGGCCGGGGAGGGCTTCTTCCCCGAGCAGGCCCGCGCCGAGCTCCTGGCCGCGCAGCTCAGCTACTACCGCGTCGCCGGCCGAGAGTTTGCCGTCACCGGCTGCAAGCAGGTGGTGGCGCGGGTGAACCTCTTGTAGTGCCGGCAGGAGCCCGACACGTTTGGGGGCAGGTGGGGAACGGACCCTGAGATTTTGCCCGGCCCGAGGCCCCTAATAAACCCAACTCCCCAGACCTCCAACCTGCCCCCTGCGGTTCTTCATTCGGCCACAGTCCTCCGTGCCCACTGTGTGCCCACGGCGCAGGTGGAGACGGGCGGTGTGTCCCCATGACACCGGGCAGATGGTCTCAGAGACGGTGACGGCTCCCGGCCTCACACAGCCGGCTGGTTGCCTGTAGAGCTGTGTGACCGGGCCCCGGGGTGCTGTGGCAGCCACCCCCCAACACACACATGCACCTGCCCACTCTGGGGACCCCTGTCCCGGAGCCCTCTCTGGCCTCGGGTACCCTGGGGGAAGCTGCATGTCTAGCGGCTGCTCCGGCCCAGGGCCCATTGGGGTGCGTGTCCACGCGGCCAGCTGACCCAGTGGATGGCCCGGAGGCTGTGGAAGGGGGCACTCTCTGGGGGCGACAGGCAGGAGGTGGCCTAAGCGGGGGACCTGACCTCCGGGGGGAGACCTCTGAGCCCTGGCCCCCCGCCCCCAGCCCCGAGGGAGCCCACCCTGCGAGCAGGACCCTCCCCGGTCACCCGGCAGCACCCCCGCCCGCCCCCTTTACTGCTCTGCGGGCGCCTCCCGCAGCCCCGCGCTCAGGGCGGCTCAGTGCTGCCACCTGGTGGCCGGGCTGCAGGGGCGGGTCCCGCGTCTCCCCGCCGCCCTGACCGCGCGCACCGCCCACCCGAGAGGGACCCCTGGCCTCCGGGGAGACAGGCATAGAGGACACGGACACGCGTGACAACAGCCAGCCCCAGGGGGGCAGGAGGGAGGGGGCCGTGGAGGTGGGGGCGCCAAGGGGGATGGGGAGGTGCTCGGTACCGGGAGAGGTTGTGCGCCCTCCCACCTCTGACCTCAGCCCGCCCCCCACCCTGGTGTCCCCCTGCTGCTCGCGGGCGGCTCCCTCGTCCGTGTGGTCGCAGCCCCTCCCGGCCCATCTGCGGGCCTGGGCCCAGGTCTGGCCGAGGGGCGGGGATGGGATTATGCCGGGCGCCCTGGGCAGAGGAAAGCCTCTGGGGGGGCGGTGGCGGGGACGCGCAGACCTGGGGCTCAGGGCAGGAAGGGGGTGGGCTGCTCCCTGGGGGCTCGGGGACTGGGAGACCCAGGACTGTCAGCCGCAGCTCTGTCCACCCCAAACCCACTGGCTGGGCGGCTGGGGGAAGAGTCCACCCTCTGAGGCCAAACCCGGGACACAGGCGCCCACACGGCCCAGCCCCTGCCGTGCAGTCGCGTTGCTCAAGGTGTGCCTGCGCGTGCCTGTGCGTTGGGCCTTTTAGTCCTGCCTTTTCTGTGCGTTTCTTTTCTTATTTCTTGCTTTTTCGGGGTAGTGGTCCCCCCAAAACGGTGCTTCATCTTTCTCCTTAGTGGGTTGGCAGTTACCCCTGGAGCTCCTCCAGCTCCTGCCCACCCTCACCCCCAGGTCAGGACCCTCACCCCCAGGTCAGAACCCTCACCCCCAGGTCAGGACCCTCACCCCCAGGTCAGGGCCCTCACCCCCAGGTCAGGACCCTCACCCCCAGGTCAGGACCCTCACCCGCAGGTCAGGACCCTCACCCCCAGGTCAGGACCCTCACCCCCAGGTCAGGGCCCTCACCCCCAGGTCAGGGCCCTCACCCCCAGGTCAGGACCCTCACCCCCAGGTCAGGGCCCTCACCCCCAGGTCAGGGCCCTCACCCGCAGGTCAGGACCCTCACCCTCAGGTCAGGGCCCTCACCCCCAGGTCAGGACCCTCACCCCCAGGTCAGGACCCTCTGCAGGCGGAGCTCCCAGCCGCGTGGTCCCGCCTGGCGCCTCCTGGGGCCTCCTTGTCTACAGGAGGCTCTGCTGCTGGTGCCGTCTCTTCAGGAGCCGATTGGCTCGGCTTTTCATTAGAACTTGGTTTTGTCACCCCCTTTGGCAAACGTCGGGGCCATTGCACCCGCCCTGCCTGCAGGTGGACGGGACCCATCTCGCTGAGGCCGGTGGCGCCTCGATGGAGCTTGTGCTCCCCCCGTTGCGTTTATCCGGATCCGTGCGATGTTGGTTGGGGTTGTGAAGGGCGGCTGGTGGGACGAGCGCACCGAGGCGTGTGTCACACAGATGAATACCCCGATCTTATCAGGAAGCAGACGCACCCGCCACTGAGAAACAGGGCGCCCACCGTCCCCGGTCCCCCTCGGCCCGCTGCTCACTGCCCCCAGCCAGTAGCTCCCAACTTTTAAGACAATGACCTTGTTTTCCTTGCACTCTAACCACCCAGCGGTATAACCCTAATCACTCTGGTTTCATTTCTTTAAGAAAGATTTGTAATGTGGTAGCTTTTTGTTTTATTTATTTTTAAAAAACAGCTTGACTGAGGCGTCATTTACCGGCCACGGTTCCGGCTCAGGCTGTTCCCTCGGCCCAGAAGGCGCTGCTCTGCGCATGTCAGCGCCTGGACGCGGGGAGGGGGGGCCCAGCGCGTGATGGAAGGAGCCGGGACTGGGTGGTGAGTGCGGAGCCCAGACAGAGGTCCAGTTAGTGTCCTACACCTGGAATTTATCGAATCGTATTAACCAACGTTACCTCAATTTAAAAATAAAAAATATAAAGATTAACGAGTTCCTGGGATTATGGCTCATTTTTTAAAAAAGGAGGAAAAAAACACCCCTTCCTCCTCCCTAACTTTCGGCAAAATCCTAGAGCTGGAGCGCTGGCCTGACCACCAAGGGCAACCCCGCGGCCTTTCCCGGAACCTGTTGATTGGAGCGAAGTTCTGCGGGAGCCCGATGAGCCCGCGTGACTCTTACCACCGGCCTCAGACGCTTTATTTATTTTTTAATAATTTTTTCTTTTCTATATACTTTTATTATTATTATTATTGATTTCAGAGATGAAAGGACAGGGAGAGGGAGAGATAGAAACATCAGTGATGAGAATCGTGCACGCCCCCCACTGGGGCTCGAGCCCACACCCAGGCCTGTGCCCTGACCGGGAATTGAACCCTGACTTCTTGGTTCAAAGGTTGACGCTCAACCGCTGAGCCACGCGGCCAGGCGACCTCAGACGGTTTTTAAGGCGCGTCTGGCTGTGCCTCCCAGGGGGGGACCTTCACCGGTGAGAAGGGGCCGACAGGGACCGGTCCCTCCTCTCAGACCAGGACGGAGGGGCAGCCGTGTCCACCGCAGAGGCGGTGAGCAGGCACGTCTCGTGCTGGGAGGAGGTGGCTGCCTGGCCGGCGGCTCACTGGGCCGGAGTGTCGTCCGTACACCAGGAAGGTGCCGGTTCGAACCCCGGTCAGGACACACAGCTAGGTTGTGGGTTGGAGCCCCGGTCAGGGCACCATCACTGCTTCTCTCTCACGTGATGTTTCTCTCAAAGCAGTAAATGTGTCAGGATGGATGGAAAGCGAAGCAGCTAAATTCCTAGTTTTCAGGCTGCAGCTGACTTGGCAGCGCCCTCCGCACGTCCTTCCAGATTCCAGCGGAACTCGGAGCCTCGTCCAGCCGTGCGTCTCCTCCGTCTCCTCGAGCCGCCCGGCTCCGCACCCGCCACCGAGATCACCGGACTCGGGCGCCCGGGCCCAGCACCTGTTCCGGGACGCGGCTTCCCCGGCGACACCTCCCGGACACCCAGCTCCTGGCCCCACGCCGCTGGCCTCGTCCAGCCGACAGGAGCCTTTCTTGGAACTGCCTCAGGCGCCTTCTGCGGGCCCGGCCGTGACGCGCTGCCCCTGCCTTCACGGGGGAGGAAATGAGTCACCGGGACACAGGCCGCGGCTTCCTGAGGCCCCTCTGACCCTCACATGTGCCGGTCCCAACGGGGCAGGAGCCAGGAGCCTCCGTAAAGCTCTTCGCCTCTAAGGGCCTGAGGTTCCCGGGAAAGGGCGGCTTGTCCCAACCTGGGTTCGATGTTTCAGCGTCGGATGGGAGCCCCAGGCTGCACCTGGACCACAGGCCTCCTGGCGTCCTGCGCGTCAACCGGGCCAGGCTGGCGTCGGTGGCGAGGCTTGGGGGCGCTCGGCTGTGACTGGTTCCATACAAGCAGCTCCCGTTCAGCCTCGTAACAGCCCTGCCGCCGCCGGAGGCCCCGCTCCCGACACGGGACAGGCCCCAGCCCTCGGCCCCAGCAGGAGGTGGCACAGTCGGCTGTGGGGGGAGATGGCACAGCTGGCTGTGGGGGAGATGGCGCAGTCGGCCGTGGGGGGTGATGGCACAGTTGGCCGTGGGGGGTGATTGCACAGTCGGCCGTGGGGGGAGATGGCACAGACGGCCGTGGGGGAGGTGGCACAGTCGGCCGTGGGGGGAGATGGCACAGTTGGCCGTGGGGAGATGGCACAGTCGGCCGTGGGAGGAGGTGGCACAGTTGGCCGTGGGGGAGGGTGTGCCGAGGCTGGGACCGCACTGTCCGCTGTGCGGAGTGCAGCCCGGGGAGCCCGTCCGCCGGGCTGGGCGTGTGTGATGGCGGCGCGGACCGTGGGCGTGTGGGTGACGGGTTTCCTGGGTGTCAGCGGCTCACTCATGGTCTGTGTGCTTCCCGCTGGCCTGGACGCCCCGTGCGGACAGCTGCTGCCCCTGCCCAGGCCGGTGTCCTGCTGGGGCAGGCTATCTGCCCAGGCTTCTCCCCAAGGCCCCGGGGCCCAGGCCCCCGCTCCCTGCTTCGGCCCCGCAACACGGCTCTGCTGTTCGGCTGGTTGAGAGAGGGAGGGAGAAACATCCATGACGAGAGAGAATCATCCGTCGCCCGCCTCCTGCACGCCCCCCACTGGGGATGGAGCCCGCGCCCCGGGCCTGTGCCCTGAGCGGGAATCGAACCGTGACCTCCGGTTCCTAGCTCGACGCTCGGCCCCTGAGCCGCGCCGGCCGCTGGTTGGCACTGGGCTGGCTCCCGAACTGCGACTCTTTCTCGTTCTGGAATAAACCCGCTTTGCTGGGGAGCTGTCTGCTGTGCGTTTGCTTCAGGGCAACGGCACTGCGTCGTCTCTCAGACGCACCTGCCCAGGGTCGCCGAGCGGCTCTTCGGTCCTGATCTCTGTGCCTGCGCCTGGCGTTTAGGCCGGGACCGTCCTGAGCTCGGTTCCCTAGGGGCTGCGACATGAGGCTGAGCCACCGCCACTCCGCGTGGGGGTGTTGGCGACGGGCGTGGGGGTGTTGGCGACGGGCGTGGGGGCGTTGGCGACGGGCGTGGGGGCGTTGGCGACAGGCGTGGGGGTGTTGGTGACAGATGTGGGGTGTTGGCGACGGGCGTGGGGTGTTGGCGACGGGCGTGGGTGTTGGCGACGGGCGTGGGGGCGTTGGCGACGGGCGTGGGGTGTTGGCGACGGGCGTGGGGGTGTTGGTGACAGATGTGGGGGTGTTGGTGATGTCGGGGAGACGCTCGGCCACGTGAGCGGGGCTTGCGCACTTGCCGAGATCGCTCAGGGCGTGGGGGGCGTCTCCGGGTCCGCACGTCTCAGTGTCGTTGTTGTTGGTCGATTCCAGGCAAGTCCTGACGTCTTCGAAATCCTCTCACTTTGCGCTTTATTTTAGGACTGTTTTGTCTTTTTATTTTTGTCCTTTGTCTTTCCAAACGAACGTTTACCATCATCTTGTCGCCCGGCCAGGCCAGTGTGACTCCGTGGCTGGCGTCCATCGGACCCAGGAGGGGCGTTGGATTCCTGGTCAGGGCAGAGCAGCGTGGGCGACTCCCTCTCAGCCATGTCTCTCTCCCTCTCCCTCCCGCTCTGAGGGCTAAAAAGAGCTTTAACCCAGGAAGATAACGCTGTCGACTCAAAAACTCC